CAGGGGAACATGGAAGAGGGGCAGATGGGGGGGAAAGGAAATAGTGTTAACAAACTCAGGGACAAGGGAACAACAAGTGATGCAATTGGTGGTGAGGAGGGTGTAGGAGGCCTGGTAGGGCATGGCCAAGTGTAATGCAACCAAGAGGAATTACTGAAATCCAAATGAAGGCTGAGCATGATTGTGGGACAGGAGGAAAGTAAAAGGAAATAGAAGAAAGAGCTAGGAGGCAAAGGGCATTTATAGAGTTCTAAATAAAGGGATGCACATATGTAAATACATTTATATATGAGGATGTAGAAATAGATCTATGGGTATATATTTATAGGTTTACTGTTAAGGTAGCAGATGGACATTGGGCTTCTCTACTGAAGTACTCCCTCAATGCAAGAAGACTTTGTTCTATTAAACTGGCATTCCATGATGCTCACCTTCCTGACATGATCGCCGAAGACAAAGTGGGTACATAAGCAAATGTGACGAGGAAAGCTGACGGTCCTCAGCTATCAAAAGAAATAGCATCTGGGGTTTTAAAAGCTTGAAGATAAACTAGCAGCCATCTAGCTCAGAAGCAACAAACCCACATGGAAGGAGCACACCACGCTGTGTTATCATGAAGTGTGGAAGGAATAAGGTATCAGGTGTCAAAGAACAAAAAAATCACATCATTGTGAATGAGGGGGAGTGTGGAGTAGGGACCCAAAGCCCATCTGTAGGCAACTGAGCATCACCTTAGGGAATGGTCACGGGGAGGAGATGAGCCAGTCAGTGGAGAGTGCAGCAATGATGAAACATTCAACTTTCTTCTAGTTCCTAAATGCTTCTTCCCCCATTCCTCCCCACCCACTATCATGATCCCAATTCTACCTTACAAATCTGGCTCGACCAGAGGATGTACACTGGTATAGACAGGAACTGGAAACACAGGCAATCCAGGGCAAATGATCCCCTCAGGACCAGTGGTGAGAGTGGTGATACCAGGAGGATGGGGTGCAAAGTGGGAGCCGATTACAAGTATCTACATATAACCTCCTACCTGGGGGATGGACAACAAAAAAGTGGCTAAAGGGAGACATCAGACAGTGTAAGATGTGGCAAAATAATAATAATTTATAAATCACCAAGGTTTCATGATGGAGAGGGGAGTGGGGAGGGAGGGGAAAACGAGGAGCTGCTATCAAGGTCTCGAGTCGAAAGCAAATGTTTTGAGATTGATGAAGGCAACAAATTTACAAATGTGCTTGAAACAATGCATGCATGTGTAGATTGTGATGAGTTGTAAGAGAATGAGGCAGCAGAATTTGAATAAGGCTCAATAATAACTTGAAGTATGCCAATGAGACAACTTTTCATGCTATAAGCAAGGAAAATTTTAGGAACTTGCTGATGAATATCAGACACCACCTTCAGTAGGGCTTATACCTCAATGCAAAGAATTTTAATAAAATGATTAAAATTTAAAAAAGATAAAATCAGGGAGAAAATGGTTTTTGAGGGAATTTAAATAAAGTAAA